GACACAGACAATTTCACACTCTTCTACTTATGTGGAGGTGAAATCCCCTTAATGTTCGGCTATTTCCCATTTACTTAATATTATTCTATTCTCCCTAATGGAAAAAAGAGATTCCATGCATGAGATTAATTAGAGAAAGGGCAAAATGGAGACGAGCAAATACGTGAGCCTGAAGGAGCCCTTCTCCTCGCCAGGTCAAGGCCCCTCTGGCTGGTAAAGCCCATGGGCTCGGGGGCCTCCCAGTCACCACATCCCCAGCTCCAGCACAGCACCCCGCAGAGTATGCCGGATGTGCTCAGCAAATATTTGTGGAATAAATGAATAAATCAATGGCAGTTGTTTGGATTTCAATATAAATGGATCTTGGACCTGAGATATTGCCAGATGGGCAGACAGGTTACAGTCTGGCGATGCATCTCCAAGGCTATAAAAACACAGCCATTGCCCGAGTTGCAGACTGACATTTCAGAAGATGATTATATGCACAATTTAACCACGCGGCCATTTGTGTCCTCCAAGAGTGCCATCGCTTCAACAACTATGTTCATGTTGGCTTTCCTGCTCATCCCTTCCCCCCCTTTTTTTTTATATCAAGCGCAATTTTTTCCAGCCTCTCATATTTCTAGCTGAATGTGATTTATTCATACAAAATTATGCTCCATTTTTATAAAACCCAAGTTACTGCAAATGATGCTTGAGGTTTTGCAGAAAATATTAATTCCTGATCTGCTGCTATAAAGCATGCCCGCTCTCCGTGCAGCAGCCCTGTCGCCCTGAGACAGATGGAAGCAGTCCCAGGCTATGATTAACTTCTTAGGCCTGGCAATTTTCTCGTGCTCCTCTGGCCCTAGATTTCAAGATTGACCTCCAGCTTCTCTGCAAATGCAGTCGCTCAGCTTGATAAATCACACGAATCCCTTTTCTGATCAGAGTTATCTACTATTTACTACGTGGGAAGGGAAGTTAATCGTATTCAAGGCACTTCGTATGCGGCACACACGCCCTTCCTTCTTCCTAACAGCAGTTTGCATATTTTCCACGTTACTGGTGATGCAGCAGCTTGTGGGGTGCAGCGTCCATGCCAAAGACACACCTTTATAAATGAACCTCACACCATTCATTTCTCTTTCCCTGCCTCTCCCTCCCAGCTTCAAATACCACCAGCCATAAGGAGGAAATGCTTTAGAGGTTATACGGGGTGAACAGGCAAGAGGGAGAGTGTCCCTTAGCAAACTGAGATGCTCTTGTAATTGGCTTGTGTATTACATCAAAAATTTGGTCACCTTGCCCTGCCCAGGACATCTGCTGTGGTCATTATGTGGGGGCATTGGTGGGTCTCTGGTAGGCCAGTTGACTCTCAAAGATATAAAACAGATGAAAAAAACAATCAATAGTCAGGAGTAGAAAAGAACAAAACCCCTCCCGTCGCACCCTCACATAACTGATTCTGTGACTGCAGGGTGGGCGTCCAGGCCAGCTGGGCTGAAGCCCATACTTGGCTTTGCTGTTTGAGATCCAGCTTCAACCTGCAATGTACTCTGGCTATTTTGACTGACCTTCAATTAATCCCCCTCCTCAGGCAAAAACCAAATAAGGCAAAAAGGTTTTTTTTTTTTTGGTGGGGGGTTAAACACAGATGCTTTAAATTTTAGATAACAGAAATATCACAGTTTAAATTTTTTTGAGAGTATATATCGATTATTGATTAATCCATATAGTCTACTATTGATCAAGGCGGTATAAGGAAAAAGAACTGCACAGAAGGGTGACCTCAGAAACAATAATGTACTGCAGACTTCAAAAAACGTGGAAGGATCTTGAATGTTTTCAACATAAATAAATGACAAATGTTTGAGGAGATAGATATGCTTAGCTTGATTTAAACATCACAACGTATGTGCGTATTGACATATCACAAAGCACTCCATATATACCTAGCATTTTCATGCTTTTATCTCTCAGTTTAAAAATAAATATAATTTAAGAAAGCACACAGTCTGAACTACCAGATATCGGACATGTGCTAGAATGTCTTTTTACAAAATCAACCAAGAATCTTTGGAGGAATGAAAAGATAGACACTATCAGCTTTCAGAGGACATCTGCACATTCTCTAATCCCAGAGGGATGACAGTCTCATCAGCCCTGAAGGAGGGAATGGGAAATGCAACTCTTTCCCTTCCCTGCAGCTGCCTTCCCACTAGGCCAGCTCCCGGCCTCCGCCCACCCAGTTGACCAAATCCTAGTTCATTCCCAAGATGCGCATCTTATATACCTTGTGTAAACATCTCTGTGTTCATGGGGAGTCAAGGTTGAGGGTGAATGGAGCAGATGTGCAGGACCCTGAGGCTCTGGGGTGGACGAGGAACCCTTGGTGGCCTGGCAAGAGCCAATCATGGGCTTTCCTGCCTGATCCTAGAATCACAGGACTCACAAAACACAGTTTGAGGTCTGAAAAGTGCTTTCTTTTTCTAGGATAAATATAAAAGTACTGCCAAATCTTTACGGAATTTTAAGAAAGAGGTGATAATAGGCTGAAAACAATAATATTTAAGGAAACCAGAAGAGCTTATGTAAATGAACATGTAATAGGTGAATACCAGCTCTAAGCAGCCCGAGACACGAGGGCCCGGGAATCCCAGGCTTGGGGGGCCTTGACTCAGTTCCGCTCCTTCAATGGGGTTCCTCTGGCAGGCAGAATATGGGGCAAGTCACACAGGGGCCTGACCCCAGGTCACACTGATCAGCTTTCCAGAAAATACTGGTTTATTTGAAAGAGTAAGTAACATGGTAGAAAATGACATCTGTTACTTGTTAAATTAATGTTCTTTATTTAAAAAACTAGAAAATATGAATCCAATTAATTCAATATTTAATTTAAAAAATTAGGTGTTTTTGAGTTATTATTTTGAGAAAGAGTTTGAATTGTTTCTTCAAATGACTACAAATGCTATCTGCTATGGAAGTTACTTCCATAGCCCTGGATTAGCAGAAAACAGAATAAACACAGAGAAGACAGCCTCACCCAGCTGTAGGATTAGAAGAGCAGGCAAAGCCAATTCATCTGAAATGAGCCACGTTCCCCAATTCTGAACAGCAGTGAAAATACACCTTATTATATGTGAAGTTAGAGAAATTGAGAAGAGTAGTGACCATGGAGCCTCTGTTTCTGTGCAGGTAACGGGTTTGGCAAGAGGTTCAAGTGAGAATATCAGAAAAACTCAAAGGGAATACATTGCTCATCATTAAAACACACCCACATTTCCTACCCACCATGAAGTCATGTATCATTTGGGAAGAAGCTTTTGAATGTAGCTTCTGAGAAACCGTCTTTATATTTGCAACCATGTCTTTATTTTCGTAAAATAATTTTTGGTTCCTTCTACCAAAGTTCATAATGGCATTTTTTTTTTCTTTTGAGACACAATCTTGCTAAGTTGCTCAGGCCTTGCTAAGTTGCAGAGGCTGGCTTTGAACTTGCGATCCTCCTACCTCAGCCTCTGGATTCATTGGGATTACAGGTGTGAGCCTGGCTATTGACCCTAGAGCCCTGTTCATAATGGCATTTTGAGTGTAAATTTCACTTATCTAGAGGGTGAAATTCAATTTTTTTTAGTATATTAACGGGGTTGTGAAAAATCTAATCTTTTAACATTTTTTATTGCCTCCCCCAAAGAAACCTCGTGCTTGTTAGCAATGATACCACATCATAAACGGGGGGCTTTGCCTTGCTTCCCAGTGAATTTCGTCGAAGGAACTGCTGACTTACAAAGAGAAGTCAAAAGGAAACAAGACATATGTCTAGGAAGAGAATTCTTGTGTCATTCCCTAAATGAGTTTTGATCCAGTGTCTCTCTTCCTCCCTACCCACAGACTCCAAGGCTCTGTCATCAGCTTTTGTGAAAAATCCCAAAAGCAATTTCAGAAGACCACGTGCCTGTCACTCTTGGAACAGGTGGGCTTGTGTGGTTGTCATGGGGAAGGCTTTTCACCTGAAATAAACACGCTCAGGTTCAGCCTGCCACCCGAGAGGAAAGAAAAGCTCTCACCCATGTGCACCAGGTGGTTCTTCTAAGTGACAGGTTTTACCGTGAAGAGGCACTGAACTGACCCGACTCCCACAGTCAATGATTGCTCATTCCACATAAAAGGAGCTCCGAAGAAAGGGAGGGAGGGGTGAAGGCTCTCTGGACAAGGCTGGGGGCCAGGGGAAGGGGACATCTCCTCCCACTGTGTCTAGCACTGCATGTACTTCCCTTGTGGAGACACAGTGGGCCTGATCTTCACCACACACACACACACACACACACACACACCCACACCCACACCCACATACACACCCACACACCCCTTAGGAATCAAAACCAAAATCAAACTCCCAAAGAGGTTGATCTTAATCTAGAAAGCAATTTACATATTCCTGTTTGACCACCTCTTTCCAGCCTTTTAGGCAAACCAGGATGTCAACTGCAGTTTGTGTCTTTTGATGAGATTTATATGCATCTCATTCAATAACAAAGGTCAGGAGAAACAAGAGGCAGTAGAGAGAGAAGTCTGGTGTGCAGGACCATGAGCGGTGCACAAAGTCCTTTAAGAAAGACTCATCCAGAGACAGATCCCTCCCTGTGAGATGATATGGAAAGAGTGAAGAAAACACCTCACGATAAATGAAGTACTTATTGCTGAAAAATGAGCTCGGATCCCAACCAATTCCAAAGTTCAGGATTTACAGCGCCATTCAGGTCTTCCCCCCCTAAGTTTCTTCTCTCTTGTTTCATTGCACAACGAGGGATTCTTCATACTTTATGTGAAATACAACAAGGCGATTTTTGCAGTAATAAACTCCACACATGCATGACAGATCGAGGCATGCAAAATGTTTAACATCCCAGTTCACAGATACTTTAGGGACAAAATCCGATTATGAATTATATGCCACAATAAATAGGGCTCGATGTTTCATAAAGCAATTTATAGTTCATAAAAATGACAAAATGTACCTGTCAGGCAGAGCGCGGAGAGCTGTTCTCTGGGTTGCCTGCTGGAAGAAAAGGGCAGAGATGTTTATTTAATATTCTGACTTTTAAATTATGTGCTTGATCAACACTTAAAAAAACCTCTGTTACACACATTTTTGTCATGTGGCCAAATTTTAAACTACTTAGAAAGCCCTGTCCTCTTACGAAAGGAGCATTCCTGAAGCGTTAACGGAGGCCTTGGCAATGCGCATCTGCCACCAGGGGGCGAGCTTGAGGAGGCGCCAGACACCTGACCTGGCAAAGAGCAGAACTATTTTGTTCTTACTCCCTGAAGCCATTTTCCCATTGCTTTATTTCCCTTCCCTGTAAGAAAAAAAGCTCTGTTTGATCTGTAGCATTTTTCCCAAAGAAGGTGTAATTTTTGACTCATTTTTCAAATCTATTGAAAACATCTCTCCAGTTGTAAAAATGGAGGGCTGACTGGAAATCTAAAAAAATTACTAATTTTTTTTCAGATATAGTAATGATATTGTGACAAATTTTGAAAGATCTTTTTTTTTTTTTAGATATTTACACTGAAGTACTTATCAATAATATGATATGATGTTGAGATCTGCTATAAAACAATATAGTGGGAGGAGGGGAAAATTGGTGGCATATTCATGAAGCAAGATGGCCCCAGGTAGATAGCCATTGGACTCAGGTGATGAGCCCACTGTGGAGTCAGTATGTGATTCTGGCTACCTTTTAAATCTCCTTTTTTTTTTTTCATTTTTTTTAAAAAAAATCTTTTTGGATCTAAACGACAGTAGAGTGTATTTTGACATGTTAGACATACATGGAGTATAACTTCCCATTCTTGTGGTTGCACATGATGTGGAGTTACGCTGGTTGTGTATTCATATATGAACTAGGAAAGTTCTGATCCATTCTACTGTCTTTCCTGTTCCCAGCCCCTGTCCCTTCCCTTCATTCCCTTTTGTGTAATCCAATGAACTTCTATTCCCGCCCCTCCTTATCGTGAGTCAGCATCCCCATATCAGGGAGAACATTCATTCATCCTCTGTTTTTTGGGGATTGGCTTATTTCACTTAGCATGATAGTTTCCTGGCTATTTTTTTTTTTTAATGTGAAAGAATACAATTTCCATTTTATACAGAAAATGTATTATTTTTTATTTTTCATTTATTAAAGTGATAGGATGTATGTGTGTGTGTGTGTTGAAATCTTCCATAGTAAACAAATAAAATAATAAAAAAGACTTCCATTTTTCTATCGAGACACTCCCAGTTGTGTGTGCACTTTCTTTTTCTTCTTGCCGACTCTAGTTCTCATTCATTCGTCTTCCACCTCAGGGCACTACCAGGGCAAGGAAAGAAGTGGGTCAAAAAACCCACAATTTGGAGGCCATGTAAGCAATGGCCCAAAGGCTGAGACCTCCTCGGGGTGCACAGGTGGTCAGGAGCGAGCACACAGGCCATTCCACCTTGCCTGGCACGCATGTCCAGGTCACTGGTTACCAGGGACACCCGATACAGCCCATGCTGCTCCCCCATCACAGTCAGAGAGCAGACAAGACAGACAGACTCTTTAGATTAGAAGAACGATGTGGCAGAATCCTTCTTCCTGTTGCACACAACAAGCGTATCCTGGGTGGTAGCTCCGTGTCCTTGGATTAGTCCACTAGTGGAGCATTTGCTGAGTTCCTATGTGGAGATGACCATACTGAGCTCCAGGAGGGACACAAACAAAAATAGAAAGGGCCATTGTCTTGGAGAAGCTCGCTCCCTGGGCGGGACATCAGGGTAAAGGCCGAAGGGTGACGTGGACACACTTCTGACACAACACGAAAATAAAATATTACGGTGGAGCAAGGTCGGGAAAGGGCAGATAGGAGTGGAAACTAGTGACCGTGGGACACGCAGCTCCTCAAACAGTGCCTGGAAATGCTAGCAGGTACTCAGAGGGGCACTCATTAGATACCTGAGTCCACCAGGGAATTGGTCCCACTGAGACCTGAGCAGACTTTTAGATGGAGGAGGAGAGAGGTGGATAGCACTGGGCTAGACGGGAGAGGAAGGGGCTGCCCAGCCTCCACCGTTGGGTCTCCGCTGGGACACCCCTTACTCAACCCTGGGGTGTCCAGAACTGAGAATGCTACTTTCAAGAGGGGGGTCACTACTAGCATTTAGTGTCTGGGGCCAGGGATGCCACAGGAAGATCAGGAAGGTGCCTTCTACCCTGAAGAACTGTCCCCTCAAAAATGACAAAGGGGTTTGCAATCGGGTCAACTCGGGAGGCTGAGGCAGGAGGATTGCAAATGCAAGGCCAGTAATTTAGAGAGAAACTGCTTAAAAATCAAACAAACAAAAAGAGCTGGGTTTTGTAGCTTGGTGGTAAAGCGCCCCTGGGCTCAATCCCTAGTACAAAAAAAAGACAAAAAAAAAAAAAAGACAAAGGGGTCTACAGCAAAGTGGGAACACAAGAAAGATCTGAAAGGAAGGCACAGGAAGCGTGAGCTTTGTGGACTGTCCAAAGGAACTGAGAAGAAATTAAGAGGAACAACAAATGTGTGGACTGGGGGTTGAGTCTCAAATTCCAGGACAGGTCTCACCACTCATTTATTATGGGTCTTGAGAGTGGCCTCACAACCAGTGACTCAGCCCACCTGTGACTGCAGTCTGCCTTTGCCTTCTCCGGGTGGGATGCAGGAGCCCGCCAGGCAATGTCCAGACTACTCCGGACAATGGAAGGATCAATGGGTTCCCTTGATCCCAATCAACTAAGGCCCTGGTGTCCTGGCATGCCAGGGTCACAGCATGACTTTGAAGTAATGGAGTCATGCACAGATCTTGATGAGGACACCTGAGGCAAGGGAAAGAGAGAAAGGAGAAGCCAAGGAGCTGGGTACAGCATCTCAGAGGACCCTATTCCTGCCTTGCTCCAACTCCTGGCCTGAGCTCCCCCAAGGCCAGCATAGCAGCACGTGCCCCGAAAGCACCCAGCAGATGACAGGCGGTCATCACTGTTCGCAGGGTTGTCTGCTAAAGGGCTCTCTACTTCTTCTTCTTTTTTAAATATTTATTTTTTTAGGTGTAGATGGACACAACACAATGCCTTTATTTTTATGGGGTGCTGAGGATCGAACCCGGGTCCCGCCTGTGCCAGGCAGGCGAGTGCTCTACCGCTGAGCCACAATCCCAGCCCCTAAAGGGCTGTCTTCTTGCTCAGCAAGACAGCTTTCACTTTTGGCTGGGATGCTTGGAAAAAAAAAAAAAAAAAAAACCAAAAATTAAAAAATCTGACTGCTGGGCTGAATACACAAGAAGTATTCCAACTCCCCCAAAGAAAGGTGGAATGTATTGTTAGCAGGATCTCTTAACATTATCTCTGCTGGAGGCATAGGAGGTGGGCTCTTCTTGGAAGAAGAGAAATCTTAAGAGATGTGACTACAAGTTCAGTAGAAGCCTCCAGCAAGGCCCCTGAATGTTCCCCTAGCCACGGAAATAGACCAGGGCTGGCAAGTTTTTGACCGTCTGCTCCTCCTCCTAAAACTCTCCCCACTGACTTTTAGGTTAGGGAAGTACCACATGTTGATGTGTACCTGTTAGAAAGTGATTGAAAAAGCAAAAGCTAACCAAACAAAAAATAAGAAACTCTGCACCCCACCACCTCTGGAGGTGCCTATGAATCAATGCACCACCTGGGGGTGGTGGTAACAGCTGAGAACAACTCTGCAGGACCCATGTTGGCCATTGTGGAACACAAGCTGGGCTGGAAGCCTGCAGCAAGGGCTGCTTTCCTTTAGCAGACTTGCATGATGCCTGCTGGGACCAGCAGGTCCTTCTGGGTGTAGAGACCTGGCCTCCCACCAGTCACTGAGCACTGACGTCTGGGAGTTTCTCCCCTCTCATCTGTCTCACCACGGTAGTACTTAGCGCCATCGATTGCCAGCATCGCTATTTTTAATGCCCTATTTTGAGTGTGCTACTTAATTGCCAGTTATTCTACATCATTAAAAACTTTACTGAGGACAGCTCATCACCCATTAAGAAAGGAGATGAGCATACGTAAAATGTTTTAAACCATTCCTTGAGAGGGAAAAAACAAAGCTGCTAACATTAGATTAAAACTGTATGCTATATACCAAAGCCAAGATCATTTTTTCTAGCTCCTTCTCGTTAAAAAAGAACCTTCAGCTTTTGCCCTCAATTTTTATTTACTGTTGGAAAATAATATAAGAAATAAACATTGAAATTAAAAAGCCAAGAAGAAAATTACTTAGGTGACTCATGATTAAAGCCAGAAAAACTACTGATTGTAAACTAGATGAATTGCCCAATTTCATTCCTTCAAGAGTTGTATGTTACAGCAACCATATTTTTTCTTTTGAAATCTTTCATCATCTCTTCTTGTAACTTTCTTTTTATTCAGTCCTCAGCAAATCTGGTTGAGAGGGTTAAGAGAATACTTCACGATCTACCCCGAGTTCATTACTCATTCATGAATGACTGTGAAGATCAAGTCTATGAGACAAAACAAGTTTTCTGCCAAAAACAGTCATTTTCTAGGCTCTCCTCAACAGATGACATCTTTTCTCTGTCCTTATTACCATGAGTTTGGTGCTCGGGGACGTAATCAGTAGATATTCAGGATTCCATGTGTGCTCAATGAATTACAAGTCACAATCTGTTACGGAAGGCAAATCAAAGAGGAAATTAAATGGCCTTGTTGTAACTGGGTTGAGCACAGAACAAGTTCATGGATATTGGAGTGAGGAGGAAAACAAAGAAAGAGGCTGAAATTCAGAGACTTTCCAGAGTGACCTGACTTCTTTCTTTCTTTCTTTTTAGTAAGGGGATTGAACCTAGAGGCTTGAACACTGAACCGCTTCCACAACCCTCTTTTGGGTTTTTAATTTAGAGACAGGATCTGGCTGAGTTGCTTAAGGCCTTGCTAAATTGCTGAGGCTGGCTTTGAACTTGTGATCCTCTTGCCTCAGCCTCCCCAGCTGCTGGGATTACAGAAGTGGGCCACTGCGCCTGGCCTGACTTCTTTCCTG